AAGCCGGTTTCTAGCGTTGTAAGTCCGCAGACGTACCGCTGTGCCACTGGGGGGTCCGGAAAACACTGGTGAAAAAAATTGAAAGTCAACAAGATTAGATAAAACACTATATAGTTTTTTTATTATATCGATCTGTTTGAAAATTGGTTGTTGAAAAATACAAAAATGCTAACACGATTTATTCTCTAACTGTATTCAACTATTGTATTTTCATGTCAATCGACAACGTAATACTGTAGGCACAATAATCCGACTTTTGTGTACAGCTACTTCGATGTTTTTTGTCAGTGAAATGATTCAAATTGTCGGAAGTCATGTCACACAAAAGGCGGGATTTTATCGAATACTCCCCCCCCCCCTCCCAGTGGCACGGCGATATACCTACAGATTTACAACGCTAGAAACTTAAACTTCTTTGTGCTTAAACTACAAACGAACAAACTGTTGTCTAATACTGACATTTTGTATACCTTTACACTGCTCAATAAAACGAAATTTAAGTTATATAACAATTATATTACGATTTGCAAGTAAAATAGAACGAGAAACGTTGATATTTTTCACACAAACTTCCTCGAGATATCCATTGTTTAACGCTTGATATATCCATTCAAAACGTGTTTAATGCTTGATATATCCATTCAAAACGTGTTTAACACTTGATATATCCATTCATAACGTGTTTAACGCTTGATATATCTATTCAAAACGTGTTTAACGCTTGATATATCCATTCATAACGTGTTTAACGCTTGATATATCCATTCATAACGTGTTTAACGCTTGATATATCTATTCAAAACGTGTTTAACGCTTGATATATCCATTCAAAACGTGTTTAACGCTTGATATATCCATTCAAAACGTGTTTAACGCTTGATATATCCATTCATAACGTGTCTGACGCTTGATATATCCATTGAAAATATGTTTAACGCTTGACATATCCATTCAAAACGTGTTTAACGCTTGATATATCCATTCAAAACGTGTTTAACGCTTGATATATCCATTCATAACGTGTTTGACGCTTGATATATCCATTCAAAACATGTGGCCCGGTATGGCCAGGTGGATATGTCGCTCGACTCGCAATCTGAGGGTCGCGGGTTCGAATCCCCGTCCCACCAAACATGCTCGACCTTTCAGCCGTGAGGGCGTTATAATGTGACGTTGGTAAAAGAGTAGCCCAAGAGTTAGCAATCTTCCCTCTAGTTTTACACTGCTAAATTAGGGACAGCTAGCGCAGATAGCCCTCGTGTAGCTGTGCGCGAAATTCAAAACAAAGAATTCAAAACATGTATAACGCTTGAGATATCCATTATATATCTATTCAAAACATGTCTAACGCTTGATATATCCATTATAAACGTGTCT